GATAAAACAAAACTAATTTTAGATATAAATCAATTGACATGGATAAAACAGAAATAATTCTAGATATAAAACAATTGACATGGATAAAACAGTAATAATTCTAGATATAAATCAATTGACATGGACAAAACAAAAATAATTCCAGAAATACATCAACATAAATTAATGAAACAGAAATAAATTCCAGATATAAATAAATTGACATGGATTAACCAGAAATAATTCCAGATACAAATTAATTGACATGGATAAAACAGAAATAATTCCAGATACAAATCAATTGACATGGATAAAACAGAAATAATTCTAGATATAAATCAATTGACATGGATAAAACAGAAATAATTCGAGATACAAATCACTTGCCATGGATAAAACAGAAATAATTCTAGATATAAATCAATTGACATGGATAAAACATACATAATTCTAGATATTAATCAATTGACATGGATAAAATATAAATAATTCCAGATACAAATCAACTGCCATGGATAAAACAGAAATAATTCTAGATATAAATCAATTGACATGGATAAAACAGAAATAATTCTAGATATTAATCAATTGACATGGATAAAACAAAAATAATTCGAGATACAAATCAATTGACATGGATAAAACATAAATAATGTTTTCAATTGTGGCAGCACTGTAAATTCATCAACATAAAACCAAAGGATCCTATGATGTATAATATATTAAAGGGGCAATATACATAGATAACAATCAAAACACATAAATGCAAGAGATCAAAACACTGTAAGCTAGGTCTGTTCACTAACCCTTTATTATCCTCAGAAATATTTGTCTTATTCTATTCATTTTAAAATAAAGTTACTTACCATTAAAAAATACACAATTATTTTAGAAATGTCTGCCTCAGATACATTTCTCTTATTTTTTTGAATTAAAATAAAGCAAATTATTAATGCGTGATTAATATAATAGGCAAATAGTAAATACATGATGGATTGTGAATTAATATCCATTAACTCTTTGGTTCTCATCTGATACCATACATCAGAGAAGCAATAATAAATTCAATCCAAAAAGCTGAAAATTGAATAGAAATTTTTATAGAGTATATAGCATGTTAAAAATGCATCATTTGGTTTGACTACAATCAAAACATTTCCATAACATGTGAATGTAAAGACATTGCATTTTTTCTCAATTCTGTATGTATAGAAATTAAATAGAAAATTTACATTGTTGGTAGTTAAAATAACCACTATCAGCAGGAAAACTGACTAATTCAATACAGCATCCTTTCAAAACCCAAAAATATAACAAAAAACAATACATGTATAATAACAAAACTATAACTAGAGCCACTCGTGGCACAGAGTGGGACTTTGCAAATGTAGCAAATTGCAAAAGACCCCGAAAAAATCATCCTTCCACGATAATTAGATCAAGCGCAAGAACAGTCTAAAGTTGAGAAATTTTCATTTTTTAGAAGATTCTAATACCGGAAGTAGACGTCAGACCTCACAAATGAAAGTATCAGCAGATAGCCAAGGTCAATGACCTTTGATCTTGTAAAAGAGAAAGTCTAAAAAGGTCAAGATCAAGAGATATACGTCATCAAAATTTCTAATTGCACTATAAAACCGGAAGTTGACATAGGACAGCAAATATGAAAGTACAAATAGATAGCCAATGCCAATGACGTTTGATCCTACAAAGGTCGAGGTCAACAAAGGTCAAGGTCAAAAATTGAAAATTTTCAATTTCCAAAACCTGTTCCTTTTTTTGAACTAAGAAGCGGAAACAACCGAAATTCTAAGACAAAGTGGCTCAAAATATGATGTAATTGTGTGCAAAGTTCCATTTTGAACAAACGTATACTTTGCGAGTTATGCCCCTGGCCAAAAATGTCAATAATGAGTAATTTAACCCGGAAGTGCCATGTCCACCTCAATCTTTTTTTAATAGGTTAATTAATATTCAAAATGTTACGTTATGTTCCAAATGCCAAGTTCCTACATAATAGAGGTCAAAAGATATAGGTCAACAAAAGTCAACAAAGGTCAAAATCGAAAAATGAAAATATCCAAATGTAAAAAACCCGTTCCTTTTTTGAAACTATAAAGCTGAAACAACTGAGCTGTTAACACAAACTGGCCAAAAGGATGAGGTAATTGTGTGCAAAGTCTCTTTTTGAACAAACGCATCCTATGCGAGTTATGCCCCAACCCCGAAATGTAAACAATTAGTAATTCAACCCGGATGTGCCACGCCCACCACAATTTTTTTGTCATAGGTGAATTCATATTCAAAGTGTCTAATTGTATTCCAAATATCAAGGTTCTCCATAAAAAAGGTCATAAGATATACATACACCAAGATCAAAAAGACACAAATATGGTAAAACTAAACTCAAATTTGAAAAAATCACCAATTTCAATTTTGCTTTAAAAAAGCAATTGTTCTATATCTATGTAAAGTGCATGAGAAGCACATTAGGAAACCGAAAAAATTAACCCTCTAGGTTAATTAGGTCACGTGCTAGAGCAGTCCAAAGTTGCAAATTTGGCTTTTTACGGATAGCTATAAAACCGGAAGTACATGTCGGGGGTCAAAGGTCAAAGTATCAAATGATAGCCAAGGTCAATGACCTTTGACCCTATAAAGGTCAAGATCATCAAAGGTCAAGGTCACGAGATATACGCCATCAAATATTGAAAAAATTCAATCGCACACTGCAAAAAAGCAAAATCGAAATTCAAAAATCGGCTTCCTGCGATCTCTCTTAATTTTTATGTTCTTTCATTTGACACCAAAATTTTGAAATTCGGTTCAGCTAAATTGGCTGAATAAAAATCGAAGAGTTTCAGGGAAATCAAATTGGCGGCCAAAAATTTTTTTTTCTTCGTTTTTTTGTCATAACTTTGTCTATCTATCAGCATAAACTTTTTTGTCCTATACAAATTACACCGGAATTAAAATTTGAAGCTTTTCCATTCGATAGTTCATGAGATATGCAAACATACATTTCAAAATCGTGAAAACACGGCAAAAAAAAAATCGGTAATAGCAAATATGCAATAAAAACCATTTGTGATATATCAATGGAGAGATCTTGAAGAGCTCTAAAAAAAATAACCCTCTAAGTTAATTAGGTCACGTGTAAGAGCAGCCCAAAGTTGCGAATTTGGCTGTTTTTGGACAGCTATAAAACCGGAAGTAGGCGTCGGAGGTCAAATGTCAAAGCATCATCTGACAGCCAAGGACATTGACCTTTGTCCTATTAAAAAGAGGTCAAGGTCACAAGAAATAAGCTTTCAAACTTTGAAAAAATTCAACCGGAAGTTGCAAAAATGCAAAAGCAAAATTCAAAAATCGGCTCGCAACATTTTGTAGACATTAGACAACAGATTACATCGGCACCAAAATTACACAGATTTAGTTTATTCCTAAGGACTTATTTCGATTTTAAGAAAAGTAAGAAAATCAAGATGGCGGCCAAAGTTTCACTTCCGGTCTGAATTTTATTTTCTTCGTTTTTTTGCATTAGCATTTACTTACGACCTGCATAAATTCCGTTGGCCAATTTAATATACACCGGAAGCTATTCGACCGGAAGTAGATTGTACTTTCAATTGATTCCAACTTTAAAACCGGAAGTGGTGTCAAAAGTCTGACTGTATCATATCATTTACTTTAGTGATGTCTCTTTGCATTTTGAATTTCAGATCAATCGATGCAAAAACAAAAAAGTTGCAAAAAAATTGCAAAATTCAATCGAAAAAAGTTTGCGACAAATTTTCGAATTTCGTAATTTTTTAAGTGCTATCTGATCAGAAATTCCAGCCAGATTTTAAAACTGAAAACCCGAAGAAAATCGATGCAAAAATGCGCCTTCTAGAGCCAATTTACCAGTTTTTGCATATGTTGCACTGTGGCACTTACGGTTTTGCAAAAATGTTCCAATTTATATTCATTTTAAACGTTGCCCCTGCAGAAGGTTTACACATGTAGAAATGTTGATGTAGCTATTGAAGCCTAGGCTGTGTGCCCTGTGGAAATTTCGAAAAAAAAAAAAAAAAAAAAAAAAAAAAATTGACAATATGATAACAAACAATAACAAATGAATTCAAATAACTAATGATTATTCATGATTTTAAAACGATTTAGTAGCAGAATTTTTGTATCATTATTTGAATACAAACAATTAAAGCTGCCAAGGGAAGTGACTCCTTTCTGCTTCAAAGGTTCCCTAGTAACATAATTTAACAGTCTATCTCTGTTTTTCTAATTGTAGACAATATTCTCATTTTAAAAGGTATTATGAAAAGATTAAGTAGAGCTCAAAGAGCAGAAACAAACATGTTATAAACCATATCCCATTCAATGGTTATATTCATACATATATTCAAATACATCTGGTCATTATTATTATTATAATTATGTTATCATAATTAACAGAGTAAATATAATTGAAACTTGAAATTTCTAGCCCAAAATAAAACAAAAAGTTATATAATTCAAATTAAAAAAAAATTGTTCTATTCCATCAGATCTGTTTAATAAGTTTGAACTTAAAAATAATACAGTTTTGAACTGAATAAAGGCTAAATTCTTTTCCCATAAAACAACAATACTTATTTACTTTAATCCAAATTATGTACACTGTTTTTGAATGTACATAATGTACAGACATAGCTCTGTCCAAGATTCAAGATACATGTACATCAAGGCTGTAGATTTTCACATTTAATCTGTGTGATTTAAAAATTCTTGTAAATGTGTGAAAAAGTACAATTGAACTGGGCCTTTTAAAGGAAAACCTCAAAAGCATACATTTAATAGACCTTCTGTCAGACATGATTGGCAAATACATTCTTATCAATGGTCCTGATGTACACCAAAGTCATTATGTATACAACAAAACAAACCTATTTAGACCATTTTACCTACAATTCAGACTTTTCTTCTCTTAGCGGAACTTTTAAATCCTTCATTTCAGTACTATTACCATCTTCTTCTTCCTTGGCCCAATCTTGTAACTCTCCAGATGCAAATAACATATAAAATACAGCACCAAATATATAGATACCAGCTGCTACATAGAAAACTATCTGCCAATCAGAACGACTTTGCCCCTGAAATATTATAGTTCATTAGTTAAATACACTTAATACAACCAAGGACAACCCTTTATTTATATTATAGTATTCATTCAAATGTATTGTAGATATAAAATCTCTAGAAGGACAGCCAGTTTTCAACATAAGGACTGAAAAAAAGCAAATTAAAATAAATACAGCAGTCATGCTGACCAAAATATCTAAATAAATGGCCATTATGTATTTGTTGGCTAGTGTTGCCAATTATGAGGTCAATAATATTCTTTTATAGGTTGGCACATGAGACTTAATCATCAAACACTAAGTGTTAAATGGACAGTTGCACATTTTTTACCAATCATAACTTGGGAATTTTTTTTACCTAAGCCAATCAGTGATAGTGTTCACAGCTTACCGTTGAAATTTGAGGCTTCAAATCCATGTGTGTGTGTCCACAATTATCTGCGTTTGAAAGTTTAAAAGACGAGTTGTCTTTTCTTGAGACAATTCCTTATATAGATAACGCATCTATAGAAATATGAAAAGAAATTCCCTAGTTTGAGATATTTTTGAAGGAATTAAATGATTTCTGTACATTTCTAGTACCTCTGAAGACTATATACAAATATTCAAGACTCAAATCAATCCCCTAAAATTGGGCACCTTCCCTTTAATCATCACACATTTAGTGTAAAACAAATTACAATTGTTATGTAATTGACATGTTAGAAGTCCTCACTTTTCAAGGTATTAAAACCAATAGTAAGTAAGTATATTCATACCTTGCTTGTTATGGCACCAACAACTAATGGAGATAGGAATCCAGTGATGGCTGCTACAGAATTAGAGAATCCATATAAGATACCAGCATAGGCTGGGGCCAGATCAACATGATTGACAGTAAAACCACTATATTGTGGACCAGTTAATGCTACACCTAATATTAATAATATAACAGCTATATAGGGCTGGGTACAGTCTATATAACCTAATGCTATTAACATCAAAGCTGGTACAATTTTTCCTGTGAAGTAGAAACAAAAATAGAAAGGTTAAATAAATTGAAATGAACGGAGTTTTACTTTTCTGTACCAGATATGGCTAATATTAATGGAAATTCATCCTTTGATAATGCCTACTATTTCTGATTCCCCTTGCCAGTCTCCATCAAAAGCTGCAAGATAGGTGTTTATATTTCAAGCTTAGTCACACAAAACATGAGAACTTACCTCCAGAATCAAATAATTTTCTGGTCCAAGTGGTATTTAAATACCCTTTTCTTCTTACAAAATCAGCTAGAAACCCTGACACATTAATACATAACCAGAATGCTATATAGGGCAGTGCAGAGAATAATCCATTCTAAAATAAAAATAACTCAAGATAAAATGAAGATAACTCAAGACAACTCAAGATAAAATGAAGACAACGCAAGATAAAATGAAGACAACTAAAGATAACTTGTTTACTCATTCCAAATTTCAGAAAGTTCTAGGTGAATTGGCATGTTTACTCGATATAGCATTCACCAAAAATTTTACAAATTTGAGAACAAAGTAAAGCAAATACACTGCTAAGTGAATGAATGGGGACAAGTATGACTAAATGCATGTTACATATAAGAAATGTTTAGCACTTCAATATCTGTTTGATGATGCTTTATCATATGAAGCCCTTTAGTCCTCAAACAATTAGTTTTAGTGGAAATGCAAGATGTCTGATAGAAAATTGGTACGGTGCAAATTGATTCTATCAGTGTCCCCATTACGCAAAAACAGTTTGGAAAATCTCTTTACAATCCCTTTAATGATAAGTTTTAATACATCATACTTACTGAAGCTATGTCAAATTTGAGGACCTCTTTCATATAAGTTGGTATATTTGTTAGGAGAGTATAAGCTCCCCAATCTGAGGTGGTATTACTAACTACTATAGCATATACTGGTAAGGATGTAAAGATAGCCTTCCATGGAACTATCAAATTCTATAATATACAACAAATAACAGATTATAACATAGACCAAGCCAGGCCATTAACTAGCCATTGTCTTAAGGGGGCCAAAAAGTTTCAAGTCATCTAATAGCAACCTATCATGAAAACACATCAAACTAAACATCTAGATCTACATTTACATGAGACTGTACACCTACTTCTTTAGTTTGTTGTTTAGCATCACATAGAGACATTTCTATGTACTTTCTCTCTATTTCTGATATTCTCTTATGATCTTTAGGTGAATCACTGACCAGTATCATCCACAACACAAACCACACAACCCCAGCTATTCCTGTAATATACCAATATAGTATAAATAGTATTGAAAAAGTAATACATATACCAATAGACCCTTTCACAGAACATTGTCTATGATCATGTTAGAAATCATGGGATTGATTAAATGTAAACAGGTCATAAAAGATGGTTGAAGTCACATCGTTGAATGTTTTTTTAAAAATTAGAAGCCTGTAAACGCTATTTCCAGCACAACTCTTACTAAAGATTGTGCTATAAATATTTCTTTATTTCCTATTCATTTCAACGAATGTTGACTTGCATTGATAACTTAACAAATGTGGACAGTGAAATGTCATGCCAGTAACCAGATCTCCATCAATGTTTACATTTAGCAGAAATTGCTAGCCCATTCACATGGACAAATTTTTATAGTTATTACCAATTAGAAATGGGACTTAAAGTTTCTGACTCTGAGTTTTATTGTTCTTTAAGGTTCTGTTTTAGTATTTCTATACCACTCTACAATTGATGTATTGTACTATTTTAACAGTGACAATATTTTAATATTGTAATTACCAATTAAATAGAAAACAGACGGCCATCCACCAGCAAATCCATATTTACATAATACACCAGCTAGAGGGAATGTTATAGCATTACCAACTTGAGTACCTGAAAACAGAATGTTATTGTATCATCAACATGTGTACCTGAAGAGAGAATATTATAGCAATTTCATCATGTGTACCTGAAGAGAGAATATTATAGCAATTTCATCATGTGTACCTGAAGAGAGAATATTATAGCAATTTTATCATGTGTACCTGAAGAGAGAATATTATAGCAATTTCATCATGTGTACCTGAAGAGAGAATATTATAGCAATTTCATCATGTGTACCTGAAGAGAGAATATTATAGCAATTTCATCATGTGTACCTGAAGAGAGAATATTATAGCAATTTCATCATGTGTACCTGAAGAGAGAATATTATAGCAATTTCATCATGTGTACCTGAAGAGAGAATATTATAGCAATTTCATCATGTGTACCTGAAGAGAGAATATTATAGCAATTTCATCATGTGTACCTGAAGAGAGAATATTATAGCAATTTCATCATGTGTACCTGAAGAGAGAATATTATAGCAATTTCATCATGTGTACCTGAAGAGAGAATATTATAGCAATTTCATCATGTGTACCTGAAGAGAGAATATTATAGCAATTTCATCATGTGTACCTGAAGAGAGAATATTATAGCAATTTCATCATGTGTACCTGAAGAGAGAATATTATAGCAATTTCATCATGTGTACCGAAGAGAGA